ACCAAAAAAAATAGCAACCATACCTTTGCACTGTGTGTAGGAAGAGGGTTTGGGCCGAATTCTGGTCTCATTTTCTCTAACCGGCAATAAAAGAAAATAACTCAAATTAGAAGACTCGTTGCCTGTGTCAATAAACTCGGATATATTAGATAAAGAAGTAATTTACGCAAAAAATACGCAAATTAGAATCGGGTTGAAAAAGCTTGGGAACAATTTAGAACTTCTACAAGAACTGAGCCATAAAACTCCAAGTAAACCCGAAGCAACAAGCACCTGATAATTTTCGCATTTCTTGTGGTCTATTTTGGACATCAAGTAAACTGCTTCTGTACCGCTGCCACTGCCAACACTGGCCAGTGTTGGCAGTGTTGGCAGTGGCAGCGGTACAGAAGCGGTTTACTTGATGTCCAAAATAGACCACACGAAATGGGAAAATTATCAGGTGCTTGCTTCGGGTTTACTTGGAGTTTTATGGCTGGGTTGACAATTCGTATCTGTCATCGTAGAAATACGTTTTGTGAGGGAAAGCATCACTGTTGTCTGCAACCTCAAAAACCAAAAAGAAAGGAGATTTTAAGGCTAACTGTATATCTATCAGCCCCTAGAGTAGAAAGTTGTACGAGAAAGCGTATGGTCAGTACACTGGTCTTTCATCTCTAGACAGACAGCTTTTGAACAGTAAAAAGAGTTAGCCTGCGAGTAACATTTGATCGTGTGGTCTGATTGCCAGAGTCAAGGTAGTCCTAAGAAGTACTGCTGTCGTTATTAGTGACTGGGTTTCCACAACCTGAGCGGAAGTCATCCTCAGACTCGAGTGAAGAGTTGTTGTCAGTCGAGTGTTATAAGTCCGGTACTTAATTCCAGTACGGACTTAAAACCCTTGACTGACTACTTGAAAAAAGAGTGATTCTAAAAAGTTGAAATTTTCCTCTCTTTTAAGAGAGAAAACCTAATGTAATGTCGAGCATTTATACTTGTTTAATACTTACGTATACAAACAAAATATTCTTTGCTGGACGGTACAGACAACTCAACACCCATAAATTGGGAGAAGTATGTGTTAATATGATGTTTATTCAAACCTTTTGCAGAGAACTGAATTACAAGTTTGTTACAATGAGATGTTGTTAAGGTTGAGAACAGACGTCGGCATTTTCTCAGGCGCCTCTGTCAGCCGCTTCAGTCCATATCGAACTCACCTTCCCACCCATCCCATCTTAGGGGAGGACATTCATCACACAGTAATCTCGTGTGTGGGAATTTAACGTCTCCTACCCCAACCCTGCAGGAGACGGGACCTCCATTCATTCGTCCCTATCCGAGAAGACTAGAATATCTAACCATTTCTTGATGTTATAGAAAGGTATCAAATTCTTCGCAATTATTTTAAGACCTTGAGTATTGGTCCGGCCGGGGCCCGAACCCTCGACCTTCCGCATAACAGTCCAGCGCACTATCCATTGGGCTAACTGGGCGGCGGTAGTAGAATGTTTCGTTGACCCTTGAGTCGTATTCCATTGAACAGCTAACTCCGAATTATCTGACGTTGTTAAGAGCTCTAGAAAAATAATAATAATCATCATCATACCAAAGTTCAGGAATTCGGCAAATGTATCACACACCCAAGAGATGAAGGCCGATCAAATGCATCATTTTATACTGGGATTGAATTATTATACATACGATCAGTTCCTTACCCCTAGTTGATTGTATGCAAGAGAGGTCTTCAACGCAGCCAGAGGAGGCCCCCATCATAACAGCTTGGGTTTCCTCTGTCATTAACTTGTTGTACAAGTTGTCCACATTCAACTGTAAACGTCTGAATCTGTAAACTGCTCTCTTTTATGCATTTAAACAGGACGCACCACCTTTCATACTCCGTGATTTAGATGAGATTGGATATTTTACTTTTCTGAGCCCAGGAAAAAGGAAATATCACATCTATTGAAACTTCTCAGGTGTTTGAAGCCGTGGGCTTGTAGAAGGAAGCTATCTTGAAAAATTGAGAGTTGCCTTCCTTATAAGGTCGGTAACACAACTTTGTTGGAAACTCTAGAATTTTCTTGCTCTCGGTTAAAATGTCCAATGTTACTAAAAGGCATCAAACTTTGGCATGCAGCAGCCTTATTGATTCCAAATTCCTGATCTTCATGTAGCAATATAATTTCACTGAGCTCATCTGCAGGGTAATCCATTCCTATTTCCGAAAAAAAGGAGTACGATACGCTTCCTTAACTACGGCCATGACTACACTTGTGGTCTGTAAAGGGGTTTTGATATCCATGGCGATACAATTTTTCTCAATAAAATGGAAAGATGGAGAAAATCTCCGCTGAAAAAAAAAATTTTTAGACGATAATAGTGAAAGGTTTTCTCAAGCTGTAGGACGGGTTATTCCTTCTTCTCTTCCTTTTCTACCAAACAGCAGAGACGTATAAACTCTTTCTACACCAATGGCTAATGTTTCACATAATAACCACGGATGAAATGCTGGAAACATTTACTGTCTACTAACTTTTATGACAAAAAACATGATCACAAGGTACCTTTAGAAGTCGCCAGTGTAATGTTATCTTCAGACTCGGAGCTTACGCTTTCGCAAGATCCGTTAGACGAGGTGTCGATGTCTCCCAAATAACCAGTGTCCTTTCTAACAATTACATTCAAGATAATCGCTCTTTTCTTCACTGCTGTGACCTGTTTGGTAAAGGCACAAAATTAAAAGAAAGAATGTTACTACCCATACGTCACCCTCCGCATAAACATCACTTCACAACTTGCAAGCTGTATACATATCCAAAGACATAATCTGAATCAGCAGTGCTGAAATTGTTCACTCACAAGGCTGCTTTTGTGCTTCCTCTGTAGCTCTAACGAGCTCAGACCAGTCGATCGTCTGGGGGTAGTTTGGCGTGTCACTAGCCTCTTTAGAAAATCTAAGTAGGAAAAATTGTTTTAAAAAGTTTACTTACATTGTGCAAGACCCAACAAGGTTAGCAATAACAGTTTGAAGCGCAGTCGATCGAAAAACATAATGATCCTCATTGGAAGGAAGTGACAACATTAGAAGTTTCTAAGTTTATAGGTTCAACGAGGCCAAAATGTTACTCTTCTTTTAATCAGCATTTTATTCATATTTTGTGATAAAAATTTTTTGGAAATGCAAATCAAAGCTTCATATACAAATATGAAAGCATCACAATATAATCATTCTTCTTTTTCTTTTAAAGAATGTTTCAAATTGTTGCAGAGGATCTGTTCAACATGAAAAAGAGAAAACCTGCCGCATTCCACATAGAAAGGGATGACTAAAAAATAGAGTAACTAATTGCTATTCAACCAATAATTAAGTGGTAACAA